AGCCTGGAACAGAGGCATGCATTGTCATAGTAACTTTAAGATTTCTACCTTGTATATCTCCTATAATGTATGAAATGCACACTCAAAACAATTCTCATTTGCATCTAGTGCAGTCACTGGGTAGATGAAAGACAAGTTTCACTTCTTGCTGGTCTACCCTATATACTCGTCATTCGGAAACTCTCTATTACCACAATATTACCGCGATCATCCCAACAAATATAAATGGTCAATTTTGATGAAATCGTATGTTAATACAACCAAATCAAATTATGGTGAAATTCATAAAATCGGCTCGCGATCTCAGAGCTGAAACTACGGGAACTTAAATATTATTAAAGAATAGTGAAATATTTAAACTTGTATAAAAATGCCTACGAAATTGAACACAATAAGCTCATTGTCATTGTCGTCATGTATGAAAACCACCATTAAGCCTCAGTCATATAGGCCAGCAAATTGATCACCAGAGTGTTAAAGAGCGCAGCATTTAGCCTGAACTTAGCAGTCCGGCCCGCTGAGGGTACAAGGAGTTTTTCATGGTGGGCTGCTTTCGGTAGAAAAATTGTCCCAAGCGCGAGGGGTGGCTCAAAAGGCACTGTCCTGGCGAACGCGTACCAGTCCACAAACCCATACGTGGTGATGGCAGCGGCATCTAACCAAAGTCGAAAGGACTACAGTTCCATACTACTTCCTGTAGATGTCGTTACTCACATGGAAGTCGAAGAGTTAGGAGAGGTCATGTTCTTAACGGTAAGAGCCAAATGTAGGTAATAGGAAATTTATTTCCGAAAAATGTCTCACCCACGTTACGATTTCAGTAGGAAACGGGAACTCACTAGAGTGATCATGAGCAAGAGTAATGCAAGAATTAGTGGAAATGGAGACACTAAGCATGAAAGCGAAATCTAAGAAGGTAGTAAAAAAAGGCACTCAAAATCATGGAGTTCCAATACAAGAAAAGGGATTAAATGTCCAGAAGAATAAAAGGCAAAAAAAAAAGAGAAAAGTATCAAAATAGTCAGTGTTAAAAGAAATGTCAGGGAAAAATTGTCAATTTTAAAAGGGCCCTTCTCTCCTCATTGGGAGGATTGCTCCCGCATTACATATAAGAGGTCGAGAAATGGTGCGTTTTTGTGCATGCTCCGCCACCAACCTTCCGCCAGGTGGTTTTGAAGAAGGGCTATTCGTGTCCCCCTTCCTCTCTTCAATATCCTTGTCTTCAAGACCGCCCAGGAGCGTGTTAGTGTGTTGGCACCTAGGGAAAGTACCAGCACTCTTCGATGGTCTTCCAGGACGAAATACACCCAAGGAATCTACAGTATATCCATGTAGGAATGTGAAAACCAATTTCAATGGGTTACCTTTCTTCGACCTCAACCCAACCTCACCCGCACCCCAGTTGAAGTTATGCTAGCATACCTGGGCAGCCGGGGTACTTGCAAGGAGGAGGTTGGATAGGGCTGGCTTGAGGGAGGAGGTGATGTTGCCTGGCGAAGGCGATGGCGGATACCTCATCAGGGAGAAGGGCCGCGAATTCAAATATGTCTGGATCACTTCGAAGAGCCATTTCCGAAGAGACCAGGAAGCTTAGTTTCTCTGCGCAGTTTGACCCCGTCGCACGGAAGCGAGTGGTATATTAGGTGATATCGATAGTCGTTAAAGATCGCCGCTGTGAGAAGGTGGTAAGTGCGAGAAAGTTGAAACGCATAAGTTGGTGAGAAGATCTCGTGGCATTCACGTGGGGCGATGGGAGCAGCGACATCGACAGGAAGTAATGTGGAATTAGTGTCATAATGTATAATACCCTGGATACGCACGAGCACTCGCGAAGATTTGTTGAAAATGAACCGCTGAAAGAATTATGAAACTGTACACATGATCAAAATACGTTAATCGACAACGTATATAAACGACACTCCCCATGCTTATCCCCTTCCTACTTAGGCCGAGAAATTTCCAGCCTCCCATCGTACATGTACCTGTGAGAAATCATGTGCAATTTACCATGAATGCGATGTGCTGATAAGAGCAAGACATGCAAACAAAGCCACTGAAAAAGCAGACAATGATTATGGGGTGGAGCTATGGTCACATGACCGGAACAGCAGCCTTAGAAATATCCCTTCCCAGCCTGGAAGGTGGGCGCGGCGAGGGCGGTAACTCTCCTGTTCGTTTCGACGCTGCTCTATCTTCTTCCACTAATATCGCACCTGCGTGATGTGGGTAGAATACACCAGATCCAAATATTGATATAAAGGGTTTTTTAATTATTGTTAATGAAGCTCCATAATCTGATTTCATAAAATTGCCGTTCACCTGAAAGCAAATACAAATTATCATCGACTCGGTTCCAAGTTCTGACTATTACATAACTACTACTCTAGTTTACGAAAACGTTGTACTTATGAACCAACCGATGTGCAAATAGATCAACCATTAATTGAGTATTACAGATATTTATATTGAGAATGCTTCCGCAGTAGTAATTAAAAAGAAGTACTCGTACGCTTCTGTATACATAGACACCCCAGATTCCTACTCTGATGGAAAAATACCTATTTATTCCACAACCTTGCCTTATGGAATGCAGTAACGCATGATTTTGATGAGTTGTGCAATGGAGAGTCGATTTACTTCTGACCAGGCACCGTAGTTCTAAGCCGGGCGAATACTCACAGTTATGGTAGAGTTAAATGTTGGTTCTCATCTCAGGCAATTAGGATGCGAAGACATGAACGGATTTTGTAAGGTGAGGCAGGTACAAGAGAAAAAATTGGACCTGAACTGACCAATCCGTGAAATTAAATCTCTTGAAAGTAAAACGAGACCTTACAAATACTTAATGAGACCTCGTGCTCTTCTCCTGAAGCTCATATTGCCTCATTTAACCATTGTGAGATCTCAAGCAATAGCTCATGAAAGAAGCAAGAGATCACATGAAACCATATGAGATCTCATAAGATTCCCATGCAAATTTATGAGATTACAAATGTGGTTTTTTCAACAGGGTGAGATATGCCTCCCATTTGGATGCGGGATGCTGGGCTGCGAGCGGGACGTCCCTGGAATCATCCCGTGCCAGGATGTTCGTTCCAACAGGGTAATAAATCTTACAAAACCTTTACCGATAATAGCAATTACAAAATAGTTATTAACATTAATAACAGTTCCCATTCTATAACTTGCAGCCAAACGTAAAGCAGATTATCTACGGACACTCTCCATTATGTGAGATTTTGAAAGTATTTTATTTCTGGCATTACGACGAAATTCATCGACTGGTCCGTCTACGAGCAGATGGAAGTGTCATGAGAATGACAGGAAGATTGGATGGCAGGAGAGGACGAAAGAAAGCCAGGGGACAGCTGGGAATTGAACCCAGGCCTCCTGATTGCCGGTCAGGTGTGCTACACCACCGAACCCGGGACATTCAATCGTGCCTCTCAATGCCATCCATATCATTACAAAAGTATGGCACAAAATTCCATTCAAAACCGTAAAAGACTTGACTGGTGAGAGCGTTCAGCCCGAGCATCGACCGCCACCTGTTCGTGGATTTCCATCAGATTCGTGCAAGGCTCTTGCAAACGTCCAGAAGCTAAAAATGAAGCTTATATCAATTCCCGAAACATAAAGGGATCCAATACTCAATGCGAAACCCCCTCCCCCAACCCCATAATTCCTCGTTCGTGCCGAGTCGACTCTCAGATGCAGACGCAGATGCGGTTGCCGTTTCACGAAAGGGAAATGCAAACGAATGTTGGCAGAAGGATAAGAACGCACCCACGCAGGGATTCCCCAGAGCCTTTCTATCGCCAAATCAGCTTGGCAAAAAGAACCACCTGAATAGCATTGTCTGAGCGGCATCGCATGTTTATCTCCAATCGTTCATGGTTACGACTAAACGAAAGACATTGACGTTGCGGTCGGTCCTTCCTCGCGGTTTCCCTGGGGAAATGCATCATTTACGTCTCCCATCCACATGAATGATAACCACCTGGAGAGGAGAGTTCATAGGACATCGGGAGTTTCCATCAATTCATCGTATCTCCCGCTTGATGAAGAGCTTACGATGACATTCCTCCTTAAAAAAAATCAACTCACCGTTAAATGAAGTATCATAACTTGTAAGAAGCACCTCATGTGCCCATAAGGTCTAACAACCTATCGAGAGTTCCGTTTCAGCCCATGAGTTCTTTCAAATTCCTTTTCAACTTTGGCACGAGTAATGTTCATTTGACCTACTTAAGAATGTGAAATGAAAATTAGAGCCATGATCATAATTTCAGTTACTGCCTCTGTGGCTCTTGATATGGGAATAAGCCTATTTTTCTTGAGTAGAAATTGTTGGAATGAGAATAAGGGCTTTATGTTAGACCCTAGTCATCCAGAAGCTTACAATTATCACATGTCCTTTGCAAAGGGCAAGTCCTAAGCCCTACCCCGCTGAAACACTCCATTCGGAGATTCAAATAAAAAAATAACGAGGAATCTAATATTTCACCTGGGAACGCTGGGAGACATGTAGCTTCATGCGATCGATTTATTTTCGGCAGGGGTTTGACTACACAACAGCTCCATCCTGATCGACACGATGAACACGTCATTGGACATTCATTTATTGAAAGAGACATGACAGTAACTGTTTCCCAGCCTCTTCGATTTCCGCCGCCTCCAAGGGTCCTGTAACGTCTGCGGTCGTTCGGCATGGATGAAAGTACTTTGCGTACGTCGTTGTACTTCTATAACTCCCCGCGAACTACCTTGACCGTCACGAAACACAAAGAAGGATGTTAGAGCTTGTCACCTCGGGAAGGTTCGTATTGGTCAGGACGGAATCAGTAGAGTTAAGGGCGTCGTGCGAACAATCTTCAAATACAATCTCATTTTTCTGATTATTCAATACTAGGATGCATAGAGCAATTGTTATACATATTTCCAGATCGGTCTATGGGACCCAAAACCCATGTAACAAGGACATTCAAATTATCGAAGGAATGGCCAAGTAAGGAACCTATGAATCTCATCTTCCATAAGCTAAACAATTTTTGAATGAAACGTCATGAGTCCAAAGATCCCTGTCATGGATTCGAGGGTTCAAGCTGCCTTTAATACTTGATCACGATCCACGTGGTATAATAAACGTTCTCGTTAATCTAGAATGCAATACTATTTACTCGGCCGATTAATCGATTGATCGCTGAGTTCGTTGTGAGTAAAGGTCTACACCACGCAGGTTGGCTTCATTGCGCAGACGACGACTGACCCGACCTCAAAGCTAGAATCGAGACTCGAAAAAGCATTATATTGCGTACTTGCTGCCGCCCAAAGAACCGCGTCGGAGGATGATGAAGCTCCTCTTCTGCATCTCGATCTGCTTCTTCTTGACGGCGATGGCGGCTATCAATTCGGGAAACTTTTACGCCCCTACGGTCTTCAAGATGAAGATTTTGTCCCCAATTCGTGAGTTTCCTGCTCTATCGGACCTGCAATGCACCATGGCATGCCTCAGGTTAGTCGACCCAGGATGACTTTCAAATATTCTGATCGACAACGTCATATGGAGTTGAGTCTTTTAGAGGTGTTTTCGATCTTTTTTCTTCATGAGTAGATCAAAAGCTCGCTGATACATGTCTCTACAAAATTACTGAAGACTCTCGGAGTTCGTTAGTTACGTTTGTTAATTATTCGATTTTCGGATGAGAAATTAAATCATTTACTCTCTCCGTCGGCCAAACCCCAAAGTTTTCTTTCACACGTCGGCGAACGAGAGAATACGATTGCCACGATGCACTTCGACAACGGAATTTGTTGCACTTTCAGCGAAACGACGTGCTACAGTTTCTCCATCACAAAGTCGGCAGGACTCGCGACGTGTCGGTTGGGTGGCGCGTACGACCCGACGAGGATTTCCGATCCCGACAGCGAGTTCTTCTTCAAGGATGTGCCTCCGGGTAAATGTGCTTCTGATACACAAATCAAAACCAGAAACATGTGCAATGTGAATAAGTGTCCCGCCTAAAGTAGTTATCTCCTCTGGGCTCGCTGACGGTTGAAAAATCGGCGTTTCATTGATATTCTGTGCGCGAAATATTCCTTGTAATTCTTGTATTTCCCATAATCATGGGTATTACCAGCAGGAATTTATTCCAATTCTTCCGAATCGGCTTCAGTCTGCTGTTATCTCTGTTATCACCATTTGTCTAGACGTTCGTTCCATCTTCTATATTCATCTTGTTGATGTCACCTTGAAAAGAAAAGAGGATTTCACAAACATCTTCCTTCAGTCTTCGGTAAAATTTCAAAGGAGTTGAATTTATTTTCATCGAAATAAGTTTAGAAATTTAAAACGGCCGATTACAAATCACATCAATTTCGCTTGTAAGGTGAACGATGCTGATCATATGAGGAAACAGTGGTACCAGTTGTTTCAGTACCGTATTTCGTGTAACTCCAAGGAAACAACCCTAAACTTCAAAATCTTCATGAAACAAGTGCCTTTTGTTACTTTACAGATACTTACTTCACTGACATATTTCAGTCACTCTACTTCCATTCCATCATGGCTTTAAAAATGACATATGACTCTCCGGAAGGCTACAATCTGGTGCCAGGAACAAAGAGCTACGTGAAGATCGTGTTGGACACGACGAAGACCTCTGCAGAAGCGAAGACGGAGTGCGAGAAGGACGGCGCTGGCCTCGCCATCCCCAACCAGGAACCCGTGCACAACTACCTCAACGAGACCATGATGGAAAACGCAGCGAAGCTCACAACTACCCACTACAACTTCTGGGTCGATGGGAAGGCCTTTCCACCGAACCACTTTGTTTGGTTTTTCAGGGACGGTGGGTTTATGCTTAGATTATATTCACTCGTTGATCTCTGAGCTCTGTAAGATCGATCTTAAAACGTTCAAGGAGGCTATAGTTATGAGAGCATGAAATCATTCCGAGATATGCAAAGGTATTCAAAGTCAACCACGCGTTGACCGAAGCTGTCTGTTGAGCCCGAATATAAATCGCTTCAGCCGATAACGCGAATGGATTCAAGAAGCCTCGAGAACATGACCGCAAGAGGTGAAGGCGTATATGAAATTCTGTAAGATAGGGAAAGTTTGCTCGAGAAGAAATCGTTTCTTCTTGAAGAACAAAGAAGTAAAAAATGAAACCTCATTTTCTTCAGCATCAACCTATGTGGGCGTACGTGTCAGGCATGAGAGAAGATAAGCTAGCGTGACTGCGTGCATTCTCATTTGTCTTGTATAATTTTTCATGAGAAATCCCTTTCTTATCAAGCATATGAGGAAACTGGAGTATCGTAATCAGTTTGTCTATCATGAAAATCGGCCAAATTACTTTATTATACCATACCTCGTCACTTCTTATTACGTTAATGTATAGTGTTGCTCTTTGTCATTCAACTAAATTAAACCTTCTGTAGAGCTCCACTTTGAAATTGCGAGATGAGAGTAAAAAAACAGACGGGAATACGATTCCTCTCGATGAATCATTCGAAGTAGATTGAGTGAGTGTTTAAAGTATCTTGTTGACGAATGAGACGAGCCGTGTAATTTTTAGGACTGTTAAAGTTCCTCGCAAGGCGATTGTAAACGTCGTCTTCTTGACTCAGAGAAGGCATAGATGGTATTCTTTTCTCATTGAGATGATGATGTCTCGAGAATGAATGACGGGGGCTTCCTTAATTGCTACAATTGTAAGTAATTATTCGTGCTCCGAAAGATCTGTCTCTTCCCTTCCAGGCACAAATGTGACAATCACTGCAATAGGTCAAGGCCACTTCCATCGGATCGAACCGGATTATGGGGATGGATGCCTCGCGGTGGCCTATAAGTATTTATGGGCGGCACCGTACTCCTACGGGAACTGGGTGGAAGCCGGTTCATGCACCGGGCCGAGATCTGGATACTTTTGCGAAATCAGGGTCCCCGACGTGATCCCACGTTGAGAAGCCCGAGGCAAATGCCGGAGGAACGAAAAATGGTCCGAACGTCAAACTCCTTGTCTCTACTGGGGTATGGGCACTTTTCACCTTGTACCAGATTAAGACTTGCACACGACGTCGCTATGCCTATTGAATTCCTTGCTTTTCCGTAAGGAATGTCAACACTCAACGCTTTTGAATTTTTTTTAATTCAGGGATGTTAAAATAGTAGGGAAACCACATTCATTTTTGCCAAACTTTTAAGTTACTTTCATCACTATTCTTGAGCTATTGCACAAAATCAGTACGTCACACTTTCTTGAATCGCCTGTATATGCAAGTAAAAAAAAATGGCATCCATGGTCTGTGAAATGGAATTCAGTAAATAAAACGATGTGATTCCTATGATAGTCTTCTTTCTTTTACTTGTTTCCATGAGATCCACAGGTGGTGTTGTCAATGATAGGAGCTACTTCGCATTAACTTTCATTCCCCAGTTTTGATGGTTTAAAGATTGAGAAGATCTTCCATTTTTCATTTAAAAACGCAGAAAAATAATGATATACAGACATACCTTCAAATGTTAAGTTAATGCGATTCGGAAGAGGAGCAACAATAGTTCTTCAACCAGGTCATTATAATGATCCAAGCATGATCGTACGGTAGGATCAAGGGGCACGGTCCAACACTTCAGCTCAGAACAAGTCCGAACGAGTAGATAGCGAGAATAAGCTTTACTTCTTGGCTTCTGTATAACTTTCCAGTGTCGTGTCTTATGCACGCAGGCGACATAGTAATTGTCAGCGACATTCCCCTCCGCCTTAAAAAAAACTAGCTGACTGCTTCAAGGAACAACTACATAATTGGAACTCACGTGCAAATGCGCAAAAGTTCAAAATCATTGTTTTCCGACAGGGTGGTCGCCTTACACAGCACGAGATATGGTTTTTCGGCGGTAAACGAATTTAGGTCGATCCAAATTATAAATATCTCGGCATGATCTTCGGCTCTTGTAGCTCGTGGAGAATCGCCCAAAACATGCTTGCCCAGTAAGATAGAGAAGCCCTGGGTTTAATTAAACTGACCCTAATCAAATACTCTCCTTCCTCCTCGAACGTGCTGTTGAAAGTATTTGACTCCAAAATCCTCCCTGTGGCAAACTATGGGCCCGAAACTTCGTGTTTTGAAATCGGGTTGAACGTGACTAATTGACTAATAACGTAACTAATTTTGACGTTGGATACCGAGGGTGTCCTCTATGCCTAACAACATTGCACTTGGAGAACTAAGTCGACACAACTTTATTTGCGAACAATACATACGGGCAGAAGAGTACTGGAAAAAGGAAATTATATTTATTCGCGAGATATCGTTCCAGATGCTGCCGTGACAAGGTCGCTCGCAGGCGTTTCTGGTCTTCGATGAGGTTTCGGGATACCAATCGGGAAGTCTCCCTCAGTTCACAATGGATGATGTGCTCCACACGCTCTTTCGATATCTCAATAGGTTTTGCGATGACTCGTGTGGTTATCCGAGGATTATCCTTGGTGATATCGTGTGCAGCTTTAATGTTTACTTCTGTTGTGGCCGAGACAGAACGTCGACTGCGGAGTTCGTCTTCTAGGATCTCTCTTCTGCGCTTGAAATCTGCGACCTGCATATTCACAGACGAATACCATCATCGGTGCCTCATTTCCCTACGTCTGCTGCATATCCGCTTCGATGTCTTTCGCACTTGAGCCCTTCAGAAAAGATATGGAATCACGGCCCGGTGCTCAAATATCTCCATGTCGACTGACGGTTACGCATGAGCACTCGCAATTATTTGTTGACAATGAACCTCAGAAAGTATTACGAAACTGTGTACACATGATCACAATACGTTGTCGCTTATGCATATAAAGGACACGCCACAAGCCCTTCCTACTTAGGCCGAGAACTTTTTAGCCACCCCTCGTACACGTACCTACGGTAGGTACAGGTAGACCTACGAGAAATCAGGTTCAATTTTGCATGAATGCGTTGTGCTGAGCAGAGCAAGACAATGCGAAAAAAGGGCGACAAAAAACAAACGATGATTACGTGTGCGGAGCTGTGGTCATGTAACCCGAACAGCGGCCTTAGAAATGTCCATCCCCAGCCTGGAGGGTGCGCGGCAAGGGCAGCTACATCCCATTTCATGTTCATCTTGACGCTGCACCATCTTCTGCTAATTTCGCACCAATATTATGTGGGTAGGATAACCTAGATCCAACTAAAAAGTGGCTTTAAATACCTCATAATGAAGTTCTATAATGACCTGTTTAATGAAATTGCCGTTCACCTAAAAGCATCCACAAATTATCACCAAAATTCTGGTATTGGTGCTTCCCCCCCTTCCTGTGACCATATCATCCCCATGCTTTTATCTGTTTTTTTCTTCTTTCTCCCTATCTTGACCCAATTTTGCTTTTGTACTCGTACCTGTATGCCTGACGCGGGAGATCAATTTGCTTTCGCACTACCCCTCTTATTTGAAATAAACCCGTCATCATCAACTCGGTCCCAAGTTCTGACTATTACATTCCAACTACTACTCGGGTTCACGAAAACGTTGTACTCATGAACCAGCCGAAGTGCAAATAGATCAACCATTTACGGAGTATTTTTTACTAGTATTTTTAAAATTGAGAATGCTTCCATATTAGTAATTAAAAAGAAGCCATTGTACACTTCTGTATGAGTAAATAGACACCTCAGATTCCTATTATGATGGGGAAATGTATATTTATTCCGTAATCTTGCTTCTTGGAGCTACAGTATTAATACTTACTTGACGGACCTTTCCCATGATGGTATGCAGTAACCCATCATGATCCATGATTTTTATGATTTGTGCAATGGAGAGTCGATTTACTTCTGACCAGGCACCGTAGTTCTAAGACAGGCGAATACTCACGGTTATGGTAGAATTAAATGCTTCGTCTTATCTTAGGCAAGTAGAATGCAAAGACATGAACGGATTATGTCAGGTGAGACAGGTGCAGGAGAAAAAGGTGGACTTCAGCTGACCAACCCGTGAAATTAAGTCTCTGAAAAGTAAAGCAAGATCTCACAAGTACTTCATGAGACCTCGTGCACTTCTCATGAAGCTCATACAGCCGCATTTAACCTTCGTGAGATCTCAAGCAGGACCTCATGAAAGACGCAGATCACACGAAACCATACGAGATCTCGTAAGATTCCAATGCAAACTCATGAGATCCCCATGAGGTTATTTCAACAGGGTGAGATGTCCCAATATGCTTCCCATTTGGACGCGGGATGTCCGTGGAATCATCACGTGTCACGAAAGTAATTTCTTTCTACAAGGTAATGTATTTGACAAAACTATTTAGTAATTATTATCGGTAAAGATTATTAACTATAATTACATATACCATTTTATAAATTGAAGCCAAACGTAAAGCAGATTTTCTAAGATGAATCTCCACGATATTAGATTTTGAAAAGATTTTGTTTTCGGCATTACGACGACATCCATCGACTGGTCCGTCTACGAGCAGATGGAAATATGACACAAGATTCCATTCAAAACCGTAAAAGACTTGACTGGTGAGAGCGTTCAGCCCGAACATCGACCGTCACCTCTTCGTGGACTTCCATCATATTCAAGCAAAGTTCTTGCATACGCTGAGAAGCTAAAAATAAAGCCTTTCGCGAACAATATAAACGGATTCACTACTCGATGCGGAAATCCCTCATGATTCCTCGTTCGTGCCGAGTCGATTCTGTAGTCCATGTTGCAGAAGCGGTTGCTATCTCACGAAAAGGGAAATGCAAACGAATGTTGGCAGAACGATAGGAACGCATCCGTGCATGAATTCCCCAGAGCCTTTCTATCGCCAAATCTGCTTGGCAGTGGACCACCCGCTGGAAGAAAGAGATATCCTTATGTGATCGTGATGTTTACCTAACATCACGATTTATATCGCATTGTCGGAACGGCATCGCATGTTTACTATCTCCGAACGCTCATGGCCACGACTAAACGAAAGATATTGACATTGCGGTCGGTCCTTCCTCACAGTTTCCCCAGAGAAATCCATTATTTACGTCTCCTATCCCCCGAACCTAATAGGCACGTTGAGAGGAGAGTCAACAGGACATCGGAGGTTTTCATCAAATCATAGTATTCCCCGCTTAATCAGGAGCGTACGGTGACATTCCTGCTCTTAAAAAAATTGCTCATTAAAGTGTCATTGCATGAGGTCTCGTAACTTGCAACGAGCACTTTATGTGCCCACGAAGTCTCATAGCCTCTCACTAGTTCTATTTCAACTCATGAGTTCTTTCAACTTCTCTTTTTCACCTATTGTAGGAGTGATTACTTAAGTGGAGTGATACTTAAGAATGTGGAATGAAAACTAGAGCCATGATCATACTTTTAATTACTGTCTCTGTGGCTCTAGGAATAAGGAATAATAGGGAGTAGGCCTATTATTCTTGAGTAGGAATATGGTCGAAATGAAAATAAAGGCTTTATGTTCGACCCTAGCCACTCAGAAGCTTACGATTATCACATGTCCTTTGCAAAAGGCCAAGTCCGACGTCCTACTCCGCTGAAACACTTCCTTCGGAGATTCTAAAAGAGAAATCACGAGGAACCTAATATTTGACCTGGGAACGCTGCGAGACCTCGTGTATCGTCATGAGAACGATTTATTTTCGGCAGGGGCTTGACAACAGCTTCATCTTCATCGAGAGAGGACGTCCACTCTCGACCGACGATGAGAAGAGGCTGAACAGGCGATGCCACTTCGTCATGAATGAGGGAAAGAACGGCACGAAGGACTACGTTGAATGAAGAAATCCCTTGGGCGAGGGGAGGCGGCGAGAAACATCAATTGTGTGGAACGTGCGGCCGTTAGCCGGGCATGCGTCCTCGCGATTCCCTCAGAAAGTATCATCCTGAGAATACGTTCCGACAGGGATCGACGGAAGTAGAAGCACGGCAATCTTTGAAGAACTTTTACGAAGCACGACGGAAATAAGCTTTCGTGCTGTACGTGCGAAATTACTCAGTGTTTTAAATGTGGAACGGTTGAAACATCTACAGAAAACCTGGTATATGCGGGCATTTTACTTCATGGAGTAAGATGAGCATAACACGAGTGATGTTAGAATTCATTTGTATCATCAGGTTTTTTTTGCATATTTAACTCAAGGATGCATGAATGAAGTATTATTTACATTTCCTTGTCGGGCCTGGAGTTGACTACCAAAATAGCGCCCATTAGTAAGTATTTGACGGGAACATTCAATTTATTAATTGAATGTCCGTGCAAGAAATCAATGAATCAAGTATTGTGAATGCTGAACACTGAATTGCACGAATCCCAAATTAATCGATCGGTTGATGGGATAATTGAGAGCAAAAGTCAATTTCCCGCCGTTTGACCATGTTGCGCAAAGAGACGACGACAGGCGCGACCTCAAAGCCTAAATCTAAGCGATGAAAAGACGTATACACTGTGCTCGCTGCGGCCCAAACTGCAGTCGCCCGACGATCCGCGTCGGACGAAGATGAAGACAGTCCTCTGCGTCACCGTCTGAAATCGGACGGCGATACCGGCCATCAATTCGAGAACTTTAACGCCCCGACGGACATGAACATTACGTCCCCAGTCGTGAGTTTCTTGCTCTATCAGACCTGCAATGGTTTCTTCCACTTTTGCACCAGTGGAATCTCGCCCCCACATTCTGATTGACAAGAATCGCAAGATGTGATTTTTTCTTTGATCCACACAAGATTGGGGCGAAACTGCATAGGGACGACTTTCCACGCCTGATACTCATATCTGCCTCAACCCTTAATACATTGCCTACCGGACATTTTACCCGTCGATCCGCCGCTATGACCTAAGCCTCAGCTACCTTAGCCTACAGCTCGACGCCTACAAGCCTATGACTTTTTCGGCCATAGGCTAGGCAAAGGGAATCGCGAAAGCACTAAAAAACGAAGGTCTCCGTTAACTTCCTTAGCACTTTGCGTACTGTTAACTAATTCGTAGTTACGTTGCTATTACGCCTTCATGTTACAGTTAATCCATAAAGTAAACTTTCGAATAGCAATATTATAATGCTTGATACAAGTATATAATAACACTGGGGCTATATTTAGGTTCCTGGGGTGATGTCTGGTGTTACCAGGTTTCCCATCGTTTGTAATTTGATCAATACGTTATACATGGAATGTTGGAAAAGTCTTAAAGTGAAACATACACACAAACGCAACATTAAATTATCTTTCAAACTATCAGGAGAACCCAAAACGACCATTCTAGTCGTTTTGGGTTCTCCATCTGCTCTAAGCCTTGATAGCTACCGTGCCGCTATTCAAGGTTTACAAGCTCCACAATATCGCATGAACATTCTCGAGCAAATTGTGCACGACGCAATAAGGGGAGAGTTTACACTACTGATTTATACCTGGCAACATTCTCATACATTTCCATGAACAGGTTGCTGAATGCAGAAGTTACTGCTAGATGAAGAGTTCTTTCCGAAACGATGTATGGGACGTCGCCTGCACTGGTTCCTTCGTGTTTCTCCTTCCTTTCCTCCCCAGTCTAGACGTTAATTCTTCGAGTGGGAATGCTCTCCCTCTGCTCCTGCATCCGTGAGGGAGGTTCTCCCTTCCTGGGGTCTCAGTCGAGCTGGTTTGGTCGGTGAGAGGGTGTCGTGCTCTTCAGTTCTCTCTTCGGTGTTNGTGCTGTACGTGCGAAATTACTCAGTGTTTTAAATGTGGAACGGTTGAAACATCTACAGAAAACCTGGTATATGCGGGCATTTTACTTCATGGAGTAAGATGAGCATAACACGAGTGATGTTAGAATTCATTTGTATCATCAGGTTTTTTTTGCATATTTAACTCAAGGATGCATGAATGAAGTATTATTTACATTTCCTTGTCGGGCCTGGAGTTGACTACCAAAATAGCGCCCATTAGTAAGTATTTGACGGGAACATTCAATTTATTAATTGAATGTCCGTGCAAGAAATCAATGAATCAAGTATTGTGAATGCTGAACACTGAATTGCACGAATCCCAAATTAATCGATCGGTTGATGGGATAATTGAGAGCAAAAGTCAATTTCCCGCCGTTTGACCATGTTGCGCAAAGAGACGACGACAGGCGCGACTCAAAGCCTAAATCTAAGCGATGAAAAGACGTATACACTGTGCTCGCTGCGGCCCAAACTGCAGTCGCCCGACAATCCGCGTCGGACGAAGATGAAGACAGTCCTCTGCGTCACCGTCTGAAATCGGACGGCGATACCGGCCATCAATTCGAGAACTTTAACGCCCCAACGGACATGAACATGAAGATTACGTCCCCAGTCGTGAGTTTCTTGCTCTATCGGACCTGCAATGGTTTCTTCCACTTTTGCCCCAGTGGAATCTCGCCCCCACATTCTGATTGACAAGAATCGCAAGATGTGATTTTTTCTTTGATCCACGCCTGATACTCATATCTGCCTCAACCCTTAATACATTGCCTACCGGACATTTTACCCGTCGATCCGCCGCTATGACCTAAGCCTCAGCTACCCATCGGATGTCGAGCTGCGGATGTTCGGATACTGAAAAAGCCGGTATCCGATCCGTTTCCCTTAGCGCTTTCGTGAGTTTTTGCTTCCAGAGGCAATTGAAGGAATCGTGAACCGCATGACAATTGATATTCGTAGTTACGTTGCTATTACGCCTTCATGTTACAGTTAATCCATAAAGTAAACTTTCGAATAGCAATATTATAATGCTTGATACAAGTATATAATAACACTGGGGCTATATTTAGGTTTCTGGGGTGATGTCTGGTGTTACCAGGTTTCCCATCGTTTGTAATTTGATCAATACGTTATACATGGAATGTTGGAAAAGTCTTAAAGTGAAACATACACACAAACGCAACATTAAATTATCTTTCAAACTATCAGAGAACCCAGAACGACCATTCTAGTCGTTTTGGGTTCTCCATCTGCTCTAAGCCTTGATAGCTACCGTGCCGCTATTCAAGGTTTACAAGCTCCACAATATCGCATGAACATTCTCGAGCAAATTGTGCACGACGCAATAAGGGGAGAGTTTACACTACTGATTTATACCTGGCAACATNAGCCTTGATAGCTACCGTGCCGCTATTCAAGGTTTACAAGCTCCACAATATCGCATGAACATTCTCGAGCAAATTGTGCACGACGCAATAAGGGGAGAGTTTACACTACTGATTTATACCTGGCAACATTCTCATACGTTTCCATGAACAGGTTGCTGAATGCAGAAGTTACTGCTAGATGAAGAGTTCTTTCCGAAACGATGTAAGGGACGTCGCCTGCACTGGTTCCTTCGTGTTTCTCCTTCCTTTCCTCCCCAGTCTAGACGTTAATTCTTCGAGTGGGAATGCTCTCCCTCTGCTCCTGCATCCGTGAGGGAGGTTCTCCCTTCCTGGGGTCTCAGTCGAGCTGGTTTGGTCGGTGAGAGGGTGTCGTGCTCTTCAGTTCTCTCTTCGGTGTTAACATATTTTCCATGCAGGTAAAGCGATTCCGCAGGCGAAAATCCTTTCCTTCCAAATCCTTTCCTTGTGCGCGTAGATGAGAGAATCGCAGATCATGATTAACATTATATGTACCAATGTAGTAGGTCTACAACTACTTGAAACGACTTCAAGCTGCTTCATTCAGTTTTACTTTCACTCAGTATTGCAGACCTGATTCTCTCGTTTGAGTTGTGCTGTCCACTTCAATATAATTTGGAAAGTTGCGGTCGAACAAACATTTTCAGCAGGATTAGTTATTCGGTACTGAGAGAGTCATTACTCTTACTCCTCCACACAATATTCCTACCATCTGGACTGTTGATAGTGTCGATCAATCGCGTGTGAGAAAAGTATATACACTCTAGCCTTCAGCCTCTCTCAAAAGCAAGAAAATGAAGGAAAAAAATTCGGGAACTCTCAACTACGACGAAAGTGATACCTAATGAAAAAATAATATTTTAGTTGGTAACTTCATTCCCAGGTACTCCCGCAGGTAGTTCCCGCGTCTAACTGTACATATGTATGTGACCCGCAGCTAAAATTATTAAAGAAATCCTCAACGGAGAGTCCAAATATGAACAGAGTCGTGCAAAAGTGCTTTAATTGATACGCTCGACCAGCACATTGCAACATCAGTAGTAACTGGACGACGGAACGCACTGGAGTGTTTCGGGATCGAGAGAGAAGCCATCCCTGCAATTGCACTTCTTCAATTCCTCGTCGCATTTCAAGTTTAGATCTCCGTTGCAGTCCTCGTTCTTCTCGCACTCGTCTCCCAGACCGCCGAGAATTCTCTCTAACAAACACGTTATACGTCAGAGACGAGAATCATTCTGGGGAATATTTTGGTCTCGATTAGCCCCAGTGCATTTACTCCACATGTATTCCTACTTATAAATTTTGCAATAACATTTTCCTTTTCATAAAAACCATGAGCTACCGCCTGCAGACAAAAAGACGACGTCACAACCTCGAGCAAAACTAGTTTGAATGCGTCATGATACCATTGCATAATTGCGAGTGTTGGCGTACGCAGAGTGCACGTCAGTCCCCTTGCTCTGCAATAGCATAGCCCTCAGCTTGAATGCCTTGCAATTCGAGGTTTGAAAGGGCACCGATATCGGATGTTGGCTAAATACTGCGACTTCATTATTGTCTTTCTGCCGCCTTTAGGTCGACTTTAATAGGTTCGCCTCGTCTGACGTATTGGATCTTACTCTCTTTCATGAAGCAGCTTGTTATGATCGGCATATTCTTTGATATATATAATTGGTGAATTGTCCCAGCGGCGTGAACATACTTGATTCTATTCAGGTAAGTAGAAAGTGATTATTTTTCCTCGATTACTCTGAAGGCATTGTCATTTCTGAGCCGTGTAGATACATAATAACATTTCAAAGTAGCCCGCTTCGTACCGGAGTTGAACTGCAATTACCTTATGTAGCTACTTGGTAACTTCACGTTGATACTCACCCAAATTCGCAAGACCGAACTCCCCGTATTTGCTTTTTGGGCAGTGCTGCCCTGCCCCGCCCTCTTAAAGTTAAAACAGAGGCCTAACCGAAGGGATCAAAGGGGGGGGGGGGGCAGGGTGCAACAATGTTGGGAAATTTGGTGCATATAGCCTTAAGATCAAGTCTATTTTTTTGTCCCAATCGTTGAACAATTTTTATATTCCCGATTTCTGATCGCCTGCGAACAAATCGATGCCAAAAGAGACTTTAGGTATTTCATGAGAGTCAATAACAAAAAGTGTCCAGTTGACGCCCCAACCTCCGATTTAATCGCCTCTAAAGAAACGAACGGGCCCGAACGAAGTAAATTTCTGAACTCACCACAGAGGAGGGTTTCCAAATCAAGCTCATAGTCATCGGCGCAGGTGCAAATTTGCGCCTCTTCGTCGCAGTGGTAGTGGAGGTTTCCGTTGCAATCCGAATCATTGGAGCATGGATCCCCCAGTCCGCCGCCCCCGGTCACTAAAAATCAATCTTACGATGAAGACGTCCTTCATTTAGAAACGATATTCCTCTACAAAAAAAACTAGAAGGGGGCGCATTACCGCACATGAGAATGTCGGTATCGAAGACGTAACCGTCGGCGCAGTCGCATTTCATGAGGGACAAATTACATGCTAGATTTTGATCCTCGTTGCAGTCTTCGTCTCCGTCGCAGGGATCTCCCAACCCTCCTTCGCCGGTTTCCGGGTTTTCATCCAGTACTAAGGAGATGACAGTGATCGTCGGAACCTTTCGCATTCATGAATAGTAAGGGTGCTGGATTTTTAGCGAATTAGAATAATAGCGAATAAGAACTTATGTTTTGAAACTCTTCATCATCTCATGCATTAGTGACCTTAATGTTAACAGAGGCATGGCAGTAAATATATATTTAAAATTTCCTTTATTTACAGGGTAATTTCCCTGTCTACGCATTAGACTTTAGTACAGGTATACATTAGCACGGATATTTCGACTGATGTGAGACCCCACCACCTGATGGGATGCAGATGAGGCTTTCATGTTCCCAGCAATCAGATGATGACATCTTCCAATAACCAACCGCAATGTTGAATTCCCCCCCAACTCACTGCATTCCGACCCGTCTTGGAGAAAGCCCTGCGTACACTCGCACGTCCACCCGGAGCATTCCGCATTCGGCGTTTCGCATCCCGTCTCGGGCGAACATCCTTCACCCAGGATTGGAAGCCCTGGGAGAGGAAAGCCGATGAAAAGCAGACCGAACCCGACTGGTCACGAACCTGGCCATCTTTCACTAACGGAATTTCAACTCGTTTATTGCGTAAGATACCATGCTGAGTGTTCATCGCCACATTCCATACCGCATTGAAGTTTTCAATTCAAGCCCGTATCTGAGACCACCTTCTCACCTCTGAGCGGGAGAAGAAAGTGCAGATTTCACATTTTAAAGGCCTCGTAAAGTTTCTCGTGGTTTTATACAAAGTTGAAAATATTGGCAGAAATCAATAGACAGCAAGGGTCGTTTTAGCCCTCAGATATCCATATTTACTCATTCCACTGGTTTTGGTAAAATGCACAGCAACCCTGATCAACAAAAAATGGGCTTTACTCATGGGATTTACGTGGAGAAAGCCTCAATGCAAGGAGAAAGCGAGAACTACTCTCACTTATATATTTAGCTCCATGCAGTACCAAAAAAATTGTTACGTGGCCCTTGAAGTTAAAAGATACACCCTCGTCTCTCGCTCAGGGCCAATTCGTTGCCTCAGGGATGAGCAAAGACGAACGCGCAAACTTCTCCCTCGCATACTTGAGGACATATCAAAACTTATCTGTCTCTCGATGCTGGTTCAATGCCACAACTATCAATCATTAAGCTCATCCGGAAATAATTTACCCAACCTTGTGTACTCAAAGATAAAAATTATAACTCATGATTCTTGTCGATCGCAATGCGGGGCGAGCTTCCACTGGGGCGAAAGTGGAAGTAACCGTCACTCACTGCATATCCCCGTGTCTTCCACGTATCCGACTTTGCACCGGCAGATCGTGCCCGCTCCTACATGAAGACATTCTGCGTTTGGATCCAAACAAGCCAAGTCTCCGAGGGATGGATGACATTCTTCGCCGAGTTCTCCCCGCCTTCCTGGAACGATCGCGGAGTGGCGGATCAACTGCTTTCCCGTCGCGGCGAAAGGCTCTGCAGCCTTTCGAATGTCTCGCGTCGCTCGCAAGTCATGCACTTCCACAAGGCTGCTACTTGCACATTTCATTAAAACGAGCGCCGCATCCGCTTCAGACCGTGACGACAATGATCAATGCTTCAAAATATATAAACAAATGGTCTTCGTTTTCTGTCGCCCTATGGAAACTTCATCATGGGGTGAAGCTCGAAAGATGATGTGTCACGAGTTATGAAAAAATGTAATCAAAGAAACTTTTCCAGCGCCCAAAAAATCCGAAAGGTCTGATCATAGTCAACCTGAATGTTTCACATCGAAGTTCTCTAAGGTTCATTCGAAGGACACGTTGACCAAAATATTTGCTAAACATCTTGCTGGTTTCGATCACAAGGATCAGCAGGGTTTCTACTCCATATGAGCCGGGACACCACGAAACACTTACATGTTCCCGCATCATTTGTGAATCCAATCTTGCACTGGCAAGTTGCATTACCCGTTGCTACATCGATGCATTCTGCGTTTAGGTCGAAACAAACCAAATTTCCCAGGAACGGGTCGCTTTACCCCAGGACCTCAATATATTATTTCCGGGCCGAATGAACGCCATGCTGGTTTTGGTCGAAAAGTTTAACAGGGATGAAATTTGACTTCAGTAACTCACTGCAAATCCCAGCGTCGTTCACGTGTCCAGCTTTGCACTGACAGGTCGCAAAACCTGCTCCGGCTTCGAGGCATTCCGCGTTTGGGTCCAAGCAAGCCAAGGCTCCCATGAGTGGGTCACATTCTTCATCGAGAGCACCTTGCCTTTCTAAAGTAATCATTCATGCAATCATGATGTGTTTTTTATATTTACTTGCAGTCTACAGCACAATGAATTGGAGTGTGTTCTAGAAAGAACCTAGGTGCTTCATCGGTGAGTCGCGGGGTGAGACGACAGTTAAAAGCTCTTTTTATACATTGGGTGCCGCTTATTGTTATCGCTGGTTAATGTTATCAGCCATTTATTATCAAATCACGAAAACCAAAACCAAATCCTATACTGACCATGATATTTTTTCGGGACTAATTTTATCAACTCCGCTGGCTACTGTTAAGAAATTTTTTTCCTACCTAAGTCGTAAAAATACCCTATTCGGAACCAGCCTCTTTTCAGTGAGTCCCGTCGTGCAAAACGCCCCCCACTCCGGCTACAACCCTTTCACCAGTAAGAAAGACACAAACTCTACAAGCAGTCCAATATTGACTCATGCAATTGAATGTTGCTCTTGGCGTGAGTTCCACGTGCTTTGTTGCTAAACTGCAGTGAGTTGTTTAATTGTAGTGTTTCCATTACTCTTTTTTTTCACCCAACATTGGGTAAGACGTGGATAAAACGTCGCAGAAACGGAGAGGCTGAGGGATCGGGAGAAACTCAAGCTTCTAAGCGAATGTGATGCATTGCCAAAATGTAGTCAAAGGGAAACAGCTGCGAAGCCAGGAATTTCGAAGGGAGCTTTCGGATTTGGAACATGGATTTGAAAGCCATTGTTTTGAGGGATCAGCTACCTTCATGGAAATGAATGAGATGGGAGGAAGGATTCCAGTCATCATCAGAGTTTCGAAGTACAGTAGAAAGCGACAATAATTCCAAACATGACATATTTCTCAAAGTCTTTCCTGAATACAATGCTGGTTTTCGTCACAAGGAGCTAGGACTCCACCCCTACAAGGATTCGAGACTGAAACACGGGTGACTCACTGCAAATCCCAGCGTCGTTCACGTATCCAGCTTTGCACTGGCAGGTTGTGAAGCCTGCCCCGGCATCCACGCATTCCGCGTTTAGGTCCGTGCACGCCAAGGCTCCCATGAGTGGGTCGCAGTCTTCGTCGAGTGCTCCTTGCCTTCCTGGAATAATCATGCATCGAGTGCTTTTCCTTCGCAGTACTTCGCGGTCAACAATAACATCGAGGGTAGAATGGCCATGCTGTCCCGAAATAATCTAGGTGCATGGTCTGTCTAAGGACTGAAGTTCGCTGGACAACTTATTTATTTCCTGGAAATTTCACCCAATTTTGAGAAAAAGCACTGCGAACAAAGATGTTTATGAGTTATATCACATATGAAGACTCCAGACTTTCGTTCTAGACTTCCTGAAACAACAGGGACCTTCACTCGTTTGGACGTGTAAAATCTGGGAATAAAATCCGGACTCACTGCATTGACCGCTGCCATCCGGGATGTATCCTGGGTTGCACGTGCATATGTGTTCGTCGCAATCGGCGTTGCTCACACATTCTTCGGCCATTATGCACCATCCTCCTTCTGGCACCTCTACAAAAAATGGAGCGACAATCCAGACTTCGCTATTGAAATATACCACCTTCATTTATTGAATGACAAGATAAGTTTATACTCAGGACGAAAAAAAAGGGAAGCATATGGATTTCCTTGGAACTTGGAATGCTGGGCCACCCCGACTCTAGATCGTGTTCAGTATGACCTCCATTGATTCAGAGCACTTTCTTAAGACGTAGTGCATTCCTTCTGTATTAGTCTTACCATTGCACAGTATAATAATATAATATGTCGCCAGAGGTGGGCAGCATTTAATAAACGTTCTTCGGTACTTTTAGAGTACTTCGTATTTAGCACCGTAATTGCATACTAATCACAAAATTCTATTTTATATTTGAAGAACAGTTCTCCCTACAATGTGCATTCATAACTCATCCACACCAAGTTACTTTTCGATCTACCTCACCTATGACTGCTACTTTAACCTTACGCGCAAGGCCTATGAGCTTATACCTTTCCAGGCCATAGGCTGAGAGGAAGGAAACGTGACGAGGCGTCACGTCTCTTGATGCGAGTGGGTGAAATACAACATAACAAGCCTTAGAAGGCTCGCTATCGTTCTTGGTTGGGATGTTCGTCACTGTTGTAGAATGTGAGGGCTGTGTGCCCCTATGAGAAGTTGATCAATGGAACTTACAGTTACATCTAACTGCAGTCATTTCTAGGTCTATCGTGTCACAATATCTTGATGTGAGTGTGCTGATACGGCCCATCCTTGGCCCAAGCAAGGTTTTTGATTCCTGACGTAATGATCATATTTTGCATAGGCCTTGGCATTGTTCAAGCACAAATTTTGCCAGTATAGGTTAATATGTTAGGGATTTCGGCGAGTACGTCAATGGTCAGAATTCCCAAGGGGATCCTAATTTGGGGCGAAATATAAAAGGTGCGGTGTAAAAAAAATTGTACTTTGCATATAAATTCTTATTGGGCTGTATTTGTATTGAGACAATCAACATCAAGTGAAATTAAATGTTACCTATACTTCTAGGCCATTCGCGTCAGGCTACAGTGTCCGAAGTCTGTGCTTTTCCATCCCATGAGATGAGTGAAATTGGACGTTCAATTGTACGTTCTCTGGTGTTGACGGTTAAAACACTCCATCACTTGTATTTGACCTAGCTCTGCAAGTCCCACGCCCTTTCACGTCTCTAAAGCAGTGGCCGCGAGTGATGAAAATAAAAATGAAAAACCTGTAACTCAATGTAGGGCATCATTTTTATTTAGGCCTGCGACTTAGACATTATATTCCTCTGAAGCAATGGAAGGCTCCGCGTGTCAATATTCAAAGCACCTGCACGATCCCGTGTTTCAAATTTGCTAACCTACAAGCGTCGTGCGATAAAGTCGTATTTTTAAATGGGGCACGATGGGTCATCCCCATAATCATCGCTAAAGTGAACTTTAGTTGACCCAAAGTGATCACACAAAGAAGTTTTCTCATCACTGAAGGAGAAGCTCTTGAGTACTGATGTACTCCATCAAAGACATCAAGAACCTTTAATCGGAAATGAATATACGATTCATTTCACGTCCAAGAATATCACATCTGCTGGGTTTGAAGCCTACAGTCTTATATTTGTGCTTTATTAGATCGGGAAAATATTGTAAAGGAAATCCTGATCTGTATTAGCAACTATCAAAAGCATTTTGCGCACTGAGTTATGACGATTGTGCCCAAATAGCAACCCATCGTGCCCCAACAGGATATTGAACGGAAATCAATAGTTTATCCAGAGAAAGTAGAGATTGTAACTCATACGCGCAGGCATTGAACTACTGATCTCCTGAATGCAATTCCAGTAAGAATCGGAACTGTCCATCAAATGGAATAATTAGCAAAAAACAAGACGTCAGTGCCAACAGAAACGAAAAAGTGTCTTCTATAGAAAAACGCCCATTCAATTTCTTCATTGGGTGGGGACTACTCTATTTGCAACAGCACTTCTCCGATGTTTAGAATGGAGAAGTCATTAGCTATGTTGCTCTGAATCACACTGCTCAATGTATAATCTACATAAGGAATACCTTAGAATTGACCAAAAGTAGGTGGTTTCGTGTCCTGGCCGCTCTGACTTAGCCCTCTGCCACCCTAGCCTAACATTCGAGGCTTTTACGTTTGTTCCTTTCTGAACCCTAGGCTAGGCTTAGTCTATGCAGTATTGGTACACTCAGTATAAAGCAGTAAACGATAAGCCATTTACTCATCTTGGTGTATTATATGTTAATGAACCGCAACGGAAAGTTGTCGGTGACAACGTGACATAAAAAATTTAGCGCCACGGCTTTGACCAAACCAAGGAGGTCTTCGTATGTCGCACGCAGGAAGGAAAGGGGATACGACACCCATGACTCACTGCATGTCCCTGCTTCGTTTAAGTGTCCAGCGATGCAATCGCATGTCGTGAAGCCGTCGGGTCCGACGCACTCTGCGTTCGGGTCGTTGCAAGCAGATTCTCCGAGGGCTGGATCGCAATCTTCCCCGAGTTCTTCTCTCGCTTCTGGAACGATCGACCGTGTAACTAGCATTAAAGGCTGCTTTTCGTTCATTGTTAAGAGATATATAAAAACATAAAGACATAGACAAGCCCTTTACCTGTTCAGCACCCCGATTAACGTTCGGCGACCTAACGCTTGAAGTTGATGAAATTGCCTTCGAAAACTTCGAAATTCACACTCACGCGCATGGACGATTTGTAGAACGTCGAGAGACGCACACAGCATGAGAAATATGTTGATTTTGACTGTCGTCATTCCGCCTTCATCGCAGAGCCGAAATGCCTTCCCCTTTGGTGGAAAGCGATGCCTCGTGTCTTCCAGAAACTGAAGCCCTCCAATCTTCTCGCCGTATCAGGAGGTCCTTATTTTCTGTCTTTGCGTCGAGGCTGCAGGTGCATCGCTTTCAGAGGGATTTTCATCATGTGACGTGCTAGTAGCCCCTAGAGATAAAATCATTTTATCTTTATTACGATTTTTCTATATACTCCCGATCATTGTAAACCTGTCGCGGATTCCCTCGTATGATACCGTGGATCAGAGGCAGGTGGAGTCTAAAGTTCACCCGTTACTTCAGACATCGGTGATGTTAACCAATACGTTCAACATATCCATATTGATAGGTCTGATTAGGTCGGAAAGAGTGTTCCTTTTTGCCAGTCGCCATTGAAACGGAAATGTGCGGCCGCGTCATATGCGTCGACCCCTGCTAGCAAAAGTCAGCCTATCCACACGCAGGAGAGGCGATAGCTTTCCCCATATGGAACATTTGGCTTGGAAGTTATATTTGCTAGATCTCTAAAAGTCACTGTGACAAATGTTACGGCTTGCTTTGTATTTGTAGTACGGTATTTAATTAAACCTCTCAATGCCACGCGGCCGATCCGTAGGCTCGATCGACTATGTATAGTTCCCGTGGTACTGAAAGGGTCAACATTAACTCCGGTGCACCTTCATCACGAATTAAAATCCAACAGAGAATGAACTCATCGATTGATCTCAGCATTTCAACATATGAATTCAGCTTGAAAACTTCACTTGGAGGCCAGGAGGATGCAGGGCTGAGTGACGCGAACATCATCTAATATATAGACGATCGTGACTGACTGACGCTAATTCTAACCATGTTCTAGAGAAGTTAGAAATCTGAAAACTTGGTATACAAGTAGCTATTGGGATGCAGAGCTAAAAAAAAAACCAACTTTGGAGGTACATGCCCTGGAGGACATTTCAGGGGGAGACTGATTTTACCAGCCTAGGTCCAGCCCCCCGACGGAGGTTTAGGCCTATGCCATTCCCATGTGCGCCTTCTTTCATTGGGTGTCATTGAAGGAAGTGTAACTGCTTGGTTGTTCACTCTAGAGGAATTCCGACTTTTGAAGGGGGGGGGGGGGCTGATTTCGCAGGCCTTGGCCTAACATCATTCTCATGGACTTTCTTCTTCAAACGAAGCGGGATGGAAAACAGCTGTTGGTTCGCATACTATAGATATCAGTTCGACATTGGAGGTACGTGCCTTAAAGGGATTGGTTCAGCAGGCCCGTATCGATCTCAGCTTGTTTGTTTAGACGGCCTATTTGAACGGAAAAGTCGTTGCCTTAACATGCGGCGTGAGGTCTATGCCCTATGCCTTTCTAGGTCGTAGGCTAGGTAGGAGGGTTGATGCGAATTGGTTTCAAATGTTTTTGTAGCAGGGAAACTGCATGGTGGATTTTCCCTCGACTTTCCGATTTAGAGTGATTATGCCCAATACAGGACGCTTAGACTAATGCCATTTCTGTGCTCACGCTTCATCTGAGCCGGAACATAAATAGCCATATACTGCCTGCATGAATGACGTATTTTCTCTTTGACAACTCTATATAGCATTAAGTAGAATTAGAAAAGGGATTTCATAATTGTACTTGTGCCTAAATATAGATATGAAGATAATGAAAGAACTCCCCATACAGTTAACGTAGTCTATAAAGAATTATTGCGTTAAAACTCTTAAGTGGCTTATGTGGTTGCTATTACTCCTACTTTTTTTTTTAGAGATTGATATGCAATCAAGAGTGTCGACCATAGACAGGAATTAAATACACCAATAGTACACTAAACGACGCACTGACGAATGTGACTTAGTAACGTCATGTGACTTGTAGCATGAGGATCACCAAGAATATGTTCTAGGACACATTTTTTTAAGGTGTCAAAGCCAAAGGTGTGGCCTGTTACACTGTGACTGTGCTTGACCATGTTGAAGCGGATGCCCAGCCTGATGACAAATGGAACGCCATGGAGATCAACAGTCATTTGCAGTGTCCAACTTCCCGACACCTGAAACACTGAATAGGTTCTCGTCTTTGCTTCAAACCACCCCTCTTTGCTTGACCGTTTTGTCGAGGAAGTTTCTGCAACTAACGCTGCTCACCAGATCTACCAACATTCTGACCATATTCCAACAAAGACAAATGGTCTTCCATATTCTTTAAAATAGTTCGGATTCGGGCAAAGAGCACCCCCAAATCCACAGCTAATGTAGGTTTTGAAATACCAGACGAATGTGATGAAATTGCTTGCATAAGAAGCACTAGCCTCTTTTGGAGCTACCGCATGCCTTGTTAATGCAGTGCACTACGTGAACCCATGGCTACTTCAGTTGTCTGAACCAGATCCATCATACGGGCAACAGCTCTAGGCATCTCCCATCTAACAGTTTCTTGATTTGAAGGGAAAAGACTGTTCAATTAGTGATTTCGAAAGAATGGATTGCTCTCAAGACCATCAAAGGAACCTCCAGCTTCGAGAAAAAAAATGGTCAGACTCAGCCCGAAGCTGAACCCTCTCTTTGAATGCAGTCATGCTGTCGAACTCTGCAAACTTTCCTTTGAATGTTGGAATCAGTCGTGCCTTAAGATCAGCAAATGATTAATCGACATGAGTATCACGGACCAATTTATGATGCAAAGTACCTATTTGAAGGCTAATCAGAAGCTTATTTTTGTTCAGCCGTGAGAAAATTGGCATCGACAATCGATTCAGACTTTCAAGTAATCTTCAATATCCTGACCTGCCTTATATTTGGGTACTCCCAATTTAGATTTTGGAGCCATTGCCATAGAATTAGTTATTTATTACTTAAAAAAAATAGCATTCTGCCTGTTAGCCAAATTCCTATCTATCTTCCTTGTCTACTCCCTCCACAAAATTGACCCTACTGGGCTAAAGGAGAGCTAAAAATCTAAGCTCATCACTTTCTCCCCGAGCTAAGACTTCTACCATTTCCAAACAGATAAAAGATTCCGCTGTAAAAGGAATTCCAATAGGAAAATGAAACACCAAATATAATAATTTAAAAATTAAATGTTTAGTCTACCCCATCATTAGAATATCTCCCCAGGCCATAGGATTACTCCTATGCTCTCATGTAATAGATTGTATTTGAGATATAGGACGCGTCAGAGGTGGAAGAGGTTTTGCTTCCCGGTAACCATGGTGAACCTTCCCAGTTTAGCAGGTGAAGTGACCCTGTGTTAGGGGGGCTGAGCAGAGGTAAAGGACAGCTATTGAGATAGAAGAAATGTCATTTTAAAGGGTCTTTAAACTTTAAAATAGGTATTGTCACTTCTTATGCTTGCCGCGTCCGCGAGAAATGTCAGCTTCTTCTTCCTCTAAAATGGGGATAAAGAGCTTGAACTAGGAGCTTTTTGGCTTACCAAAGGTTTTAAGATTTCAATTAGGGCACTTCGTCCCCAAACAGCAAATATTCTCTTAATCACTGGACACACGAACTACTACGTGCCAGGAGATCTGGCACAGGACCTTGAGCGTGGGTGCAGAATTGAGAGTGCGGAATGAAATCGGACGGCGCTCAGATGGGGAATGGAGATGAATGTATTCCCTGAACCATTGGGAGTGGACAAGGTCAATTGAAAAAAGGCGCGATGGGAGCAATTGATGTTAGCCTCGCGTTACCTGGCTTTTCGCTGACTAAAGAGCAAAAGGAAGAGTTTCCGAGGCCTAGGATTGTCTAAGTCGGTGTTCAATATCTCTCACCTGAAGTATTCTTTCGTTATTATTATTATACTTGTACAGAGAGAGGCATAGAACAACTTATTTATACATGTCATTGATCTAAAATATGAATCACCCACTTAATCCCCTTATGTTGGAAAGAAGCCAATCATTTGGTTTGCTAATAGAGGTGAGGAACTCCTTCCTGGTTAGGGTAGATGTTGGTAGAGGAATCTTGCACATGCTCGCTATCACAGCATATATGTTGCACGATTGAATGTAATCAGATTAAGCAACCTGGCTTGAAATGCGATCAAAACGACGCTATAGCAGAGAACTCAGAAACCCACCTTCACATTCAGTCTTGTAGATGAGGATAATACCAGTTTTTAGGCAATGCCTTCTGGATGACTATTGCCTGCTGAATGTCATCCACCAAAAAGGCTGTCGGGATTTTTTTTTTCAGCCTTGCACCGACCCTGACGGTCATTTAGATCAAGGAGGCATTTTCATCTTCTTATTCCTTCAGATAGGGTTAAGCGCGAAGAGAAGAAAAAAATTGAGGGAGAGTATGGTAAGGTTGATAGATAACTCAACTCTCTCGGGTACTTGAAACCCCAGAACCATGGTAATTTCAATCTGAGTTACTTGACCTCTAATTCACAATACGCCTTAGCTCTTCCATTCTTTCTTCTCCAGGTTTTTAAACTCATAATCTGTGACATGCTTAGGATATACGCGGTCCACTTCTCTCTTCATTCCCGCAAGCTTGTAAAATTAAGATAATGGATATGCTTCCTTTTTTAATGCTTGACTTGTGATCATGAATTTCCCCCAGAAGCATCACCATGGATGGAAAAGTCCACCTCACTCAGTCATATGAACCCAAGACCACTATGAAATTATATCTTTAGTTACAAATCTTTAGAAAGAATTGAGCCTTATAACGTCCTTCTGAGCAAATATCTCTTAGGTACAAGCTGAAATGAAGGCGGAAGTTCCCGACCCTCGGCAAATACTATTTGCCAATATATTGC